ATGCCCAGGCTAAACGGAATGAAAAAAACAAACAAACAAACAAAACGTGGATGTAGGCCAAATCCCCCTCCTGGCAACTAATTTCTGATCTCTACATGATCTGGTATAATAATTCTTTCCTAAGAAGCCTCTTCTGCCCAATGTTTTCTCTTCCTTCTGATCACCCTCATACTTGATATATAGTTTAAATTATGTTGTGCATTTATTTGTATATTTGTAATTGTTCTGAGTTTTTACATCTTCTATGTATAGATCATAAGATTTTTCAAACCAGTGACATTATTATTATTATCTCATTTTGTTTGTTCCATAAGGCCAAGTAAAGTAGTATTCAAAGGCTAGATACTCAATAAATATCTAGCAATGATAGCAATGGAGAAAATGCAAATGACTTGTCTTCTCTTTTAAATATTAGTTTGTACAGAAATGAAGCATGTGATCCAGAAAAAATAACATCCTTCATTAATCATCACATCCCTGATGCTAAATTAAAAACAGAAAGCAAAGAAAAGCTTGTGTATACATTACCTTTGGAAAGGACAAGCGTATTTCCAGGTAACTTAAATATGATTAAAATGGAATGGAATTTGGGAACAAATGCTTACATTAGTACTATAGTTTTCACTGTCTAATAGATTTGGGTTTTGTCATTTGTTGGGTTCCCCAAGAAGCAGAACCTGAGATGAGGATTTGAGTGCAATTGATTTATTGGATAGCTGATCACCAGAAGCACCAGCAGGGGGCATGGGGACATGAGCCAGGGAAAGGAAGGAGGAAGCCAAGGAAGGCTGCATTTTAGAGCAGGTTACTGCAGTGGGCAATTGAGGTTTAACCACACTGAGAGAAATGATTGAATAAATAAACAAGTGGGCCCAGAGTTACATCACTCCAGTGAAGAAGCTGGGTCACCATTCCCTATCCATCATTGGTTGAAGGATGCTTCCAGGAGCACTAACTTTCTGACCCTTCCCAGTTGCTCTGGCTCGGCATGCTTCTGAGGCCAGAAAAAAACCCTCAGGCTGGTGTTCTTAATAAGAAAATTTTCTGTGTAAGGTGAGTACAGAAAGATACAGTGGGGCATCAGTGGTGTCTGCTACAGGTTTCTTTTTTGCATTTAATTCAATTATGTATGTATTTATATTATAGAGAAAAACACTGTTTAAAACTGTTCACTCAACACGGATTCCCAGCCTGTGGGGTAGTGGTGCCAACTCAGGCTTTCATTTATAAGTAAACCTTGTTGTTGTGGTGGTGGTGTGCTGTCAAGTCGATTCCGACTCACAGTGACCCTATAGGACAGAGTAGAACTGCCCCCCTAGGGTTTCCAAGGCTGTAATCTTTAGGAAGCAGACTGTCACATCTTTCTCCCATGGAGTCCCTGGTGGGTTCAAACTGCTGACCTTTCAGTTAGCAGCCAAGCACTTTAACCACT